AGAGAGAGAGAGAGAGAGAGAGAGAGAGAGAGAGAGAGAGAGAGAGAGAGAGAGAGAGAGAGAGAGAGAGAGAGGCGCTGGTGGGCTCCAGTACTGGAGGGGGCATCAGTAGAGTTTTCCGTACAGCCACCCTGAAAATTTGGAGCCAGTTCCCGTAGCACACACTGCAAATATATCAGGCTCAAGCGACGTCGAGGGTATTTCGCAAATTCAATCCGACGTCAAGAAGGGCGTGCAAGCACCGGAACCCCACTGTTTGTGGTGCATACCGAAAATAAGATCATCTTTGAGGGGCATATGGAAAAGTTCCCTAATTGAACGATTCTTGCGTCTTTACGTAGGGCCGCCGGTCAGCCAGGCAAGAGGCCGTCGCCCTTTCTGGGGAAAAAGACCTTTGGAAGGACGTACTAACACTACCGCTGACGCCCAGAGCTGGATGTATCTGACCGCAACGACGCCCAGATCCGGATGCATCTGACTGCAATTACGGCCAGACCCGGATGCATCTGATTGCAATTGCACCCCGACTTGGAGAGGCCGTAGTCCTTTCCGGTGAAAAAGACGTTTGGAGAGGCCGTAGTCCTTTCCGGATGCATCTGTACCACGGATCCCACGGCAGGGTAGTAATCAATGGCCACATTTCGGACCCCTTCACGATTACAAGGTCACTGAGGCAGGGGTGCCCCTTGGCCCCCTCACTCTTTGTGATCCAATTGGAGATACTATTGAATATGATCAGAACCCATGCAGATTACACTGGTCTGAGAATCTCACCGAGCTACCAGCTGAAGGTTTCTGCCCTGGCAGATGATTTTTCAGCAATTACCGAAAATTCCCATGCATCACTAAGTTCCCTGAAACAGTGTCTGTCTTTGTATGAATCGGCTTCGGAAATGAAAATCAGCTGGAATAAGTCAACGGCTTTAACAGCAGATAATAGGCCCCTAGCTGTGGACTTGGGCATCAAGGCCACAAGGAATACAGACTCTGAACGGTACCTGGGAATAATGGTCTCCTTCGGGGATAGCTCTCAGGTACAGGATAGTATCGTGGAAAACAGAATCAGGGAAGCTTGTATGAAACGCTCAAAGAACTCTTATGCGTCCATTTTTGGAAGGGCGATCCTGACAAACTGTGCGGTGTTATCCACAGTATGGTACATCCTGTCCATAAGGGCACTGAACCCGAGATCAGCCAAACTCATCCGCCAACTTCTCACCAGGTATATATGGAAAGGAGACTCAGGAGTAGAGTCCTGTATCAGTAAAGTAGCATGGTGGAAACTGACGGAGGAAAAAACCCAGGGGGGCCTAGGAATCCTTGACCCAGAGAAACAGAATGACGCCCTATTAGCCAAGTGGCCGGTGAGATTACTGACATCCCAATGTACACAGCCGTGGATGATCTTGGCACAGGCTCTCCTGTGCAAAGATTGGAACTTGACTGACCCCGAATCGGTATGGCAAGCCATCCTCATGCACCCACTAACTTCCTCAGTGAAGTCGCCCACATGGGCACCTATACTTAAGGCGTGGAGCAGGCTTCTCCCATACACCATAACACACCCCTCTGCTAAAAGTGAAATCTTCCATACATGCTTATTCGATAATCCAGCTATCACTGATCCTGAGGGCAAGCCCTTTTCGGTGGCAAACAAACCTGGCAATGTCGCGAGGAAAATGGCTACAGAAGGGGGTATGGCAGATTCAGCATCTATGGGACAAAGACAGAGGCCAGTGGAAGACAGCAGAAGAATTGAGAAGTAAACTGAGAGGACTCCGCAACATTGAGCAACACAGAGATTGGGTGACTCAGGCCATACCAGACGAGCCGAATCAAGTAATCAAGAAAGACGATCACGGCAAACATGCAGGAACATGGTGGAAAAAGGTAGGCTGCGAGGGGACATTCTATCAAATAGAATCACCCCCCTCAACGGTCTCAGTATGGACCAGGGGCAGAAAATTTCTGATTAAACAAACCGGAGGAGTAATCCTCCAGGATGATGAGGAATGGCTGGAAATTGGAGTATCAGAATGCGCACACAAGGGCAAGCGGCAGTTCAAACTCGTAATGGAGGGCTCACCGAAGGAGACATGGAAAGTAGATATAGGGAGGATAGGCTGGATTCTGTCCGACGACTCCTCATCCTCTTCCAATATCTTGCTCTCAGACTACTCTTCCAAAGTAGGCTATTCCTTAAGATCTAAGGCATCTACTTTACAGATTAACGTCTGGAACAGTTGGAGGAAGAGGGGAGCACCCGTTAACGGTCCCCTCTTCAACAACACATGGGTCAAATTTTTCATTACCTTACTTCTCAGTGTTATGGAAGTGAAGGTAGCCAGCCTACAGTGGATGCATCTCCACTCGTGCGTACCGACGGCAGATTGGTGCGTAAGCAAAGGGATGGATATCTCTCCCCAGTGTGATGTCTGTGTTCAGGAATCACTGGAAGACTCGAGCCACCTATGGTGGGAATGCATTGTGGCTAGATGATTCTGGGAATGGGTGAGCAGTTTGTGGCAGCTTGCTTATGGCCCAAAGGTATTTTGGACCAAGGAATTTATCCTATATGGAAACAGAAGTAAGGATCAAGTTACTATTATAGCCAACAAGTTCAGGGTGTTGGGTTTTTGGGTACTTCGGATAGCAAGAAGGGACAGGAGGTTCAATAGTAACTTCTGGTCCCCAGCAGTCATCCGTAATAAGTTTAAAATTGCACTACGGAATCTAATATGCGCAGAATGGGTGAAGATACGCAGAGCCAAAGGGGCAAGAAATAGTCCTGCTGCTAGAAATAGTATGAAGACTACCTGGAACAAGAAGTTCAAATGGATTTCCTTTACAGACCAAGGACAGTTGGTGATCTCCAAGCATCTATGGGACGAGGTAGTAGAGCACTGCCCCCAGTTTGAGAGCTTGGGAGACTGCTAACTAATGGGTTGGATCTGTGCTGTCCTATAAGAATGAGTTTATTCATCCTTTCAGACAGCCTACTGGACTGAGATTATTGTAGGCAGCATTAAACAGGGATACATAAAGGACTGTACAAAATAGGACTGGTTCGCCAGACAGTACAAAGTTGAACCTGCATTCATTCGGAGTTGATTATTTTCAGTGATTATTGCTGGTTATGAGATAAGGGACGCTGGACCCGTTTTCCAGCCTAGCCCAAAGGGACGCTGGACCCGGTTTCCAGTAACAGGTTCCACCGGGTAGAATTGTGGGGTCCCCGGCCTCGTCCAATGTTCATTTGGTTAATATAAAGTTAAAAAAAAAAAAGAAAAAAAAAAGACGTTTGGAACGATACAGAGGACGTACTAACACTACCGGTAACGCCCAGAGGTGGATGCATCTGACTGCAACAAGGCCAGATCCAGATGCATCTGACTGCAATTACGGCCAGACCGGGATGCATCTGACTGCGATTACACCCCGACTTGGATGCCTTCGACCTGGATGCATCTTGCGGCGCTTACCGCCCGACGTGGATGCATCTGACTGCAATTACGGCCCGACCTGGATGCATCTGATTGCAATGACGGCCCGACCTGGATGCATCTGACTGCCATTACGGCCCGACCTGGATGCATTGTACTGCACTTAGGGCGAACGGCCGGACCTGGATGCACCTGACTGCAATCACGTCCACGGGTCAGTCGAAAAAAAAGTCCTAGAGTGACAACACCAAGAGGCGGTGCGAGAGCCCCAGCCGAAATTGATCTGACGTGGCAGTCGAGGGTAGGGAATCGATGGAAGCTGCACGCACGTGCTCTCTCTAGAGAGACAGGGTGGCAGGGAGACATCAGCGCATACGTTTCTATGGCGCAGCGGACCATGGGCCTCGCTGCACTACTGGCGAAATGTGCAAAACGAGAGTGAATCTTCCGCTAGAACATGGAAACATACACGGCCATGATTTTTGTCGTTTGTGCATTTCAAGAGTAGTGCAGCGAGGCCCCATTTCTAGTGGTAGTAGGAGATTATGGAAGTGGAAGTGGAAGTGGAAGTGTGTGTGCATCCGCGAGCCTGTCGAGAGAACGGGGAATGGAAGAACACTCACAATCAATTGGAGGTAATCGGAGGGGTACTTTGGTTGAAAAAATATTTATATATACTCTCCTGGATAGAGGTTTTTTAGATGGGCAGAAGGGGTCCTTTGGTTTGGTTGAAATATGAATCTTCTGGGTAGAGATTAGATTGGTAGGACCTCATAAGAAGGCGTGAATAAGACGAGCTACCTAGCGACAAGTGTTCGGAGAGCGCTTCCGTCCGGCAATGGAGCGGTTGATCCCGTGAAGAGCAAAGCTGAGAAAAGTGGGCGGCGGGGGGGGAGGGGGAGAGGGGGGGGAGTGTTGTTAGACAGACGGGGGACCCCGCTCGGCGGGCGGTGGTGGGGTTCGTCGAGCTCCACGTAGAGTGAAAGGAGGAGCGAAGATGGCGTCCACTGCGACTGCCCCCTCGTTGGCCGGAGCGTCTATGTTGCCATCACCGTCGTCTCCTCGACTGGCCAGCGGCAAAGTTGTAGCAGCGCCGCCGATCACCATGCAATGGGTCCAGCGGACTGCGCAGCCGCGGGCAATGCCTGACCGCAGTACGAACTCCTTTTCTCCGTGTAGATTTGCCGCCGCGCGGTCATGCGCATCCTCCTCCTCCTCACCCTCCTCCTCCTCATCGTTGTCCTCGTTATCAAGATCAGCCAGTTGCCGCTCTCACAGCGGCGAAGTAGTTCACAGGGTCATCTTGGTTCCCGCCGCCGCCGCCAAGGAGCGCAAGTCGGCCCCCCGCCGCCGCAAAGAAGCGCGCGCCGACCCCCTGCCATCCTTCGATCTCACAGTGACCGCTCTCACAGCCGGCCGCTGCCGGCGGCGGTATAGATCAGATGCCGTTGGCAAGGAGCGCGCATCGAACCGCTGCTATCCGCCGACGGGATGCATGGCGCCGGCGCTTCGAGCCGCCGAGGATATGACGGCGCATGGGAGGGGGAGGAGGAGGAGGTGGTGCAGGCCAAGCTGTCGCAGCAATAACGTGGAGGGGACTGCCGGGATAGCCAAAGGGGAGAGAAGGGATCGCGTTGGAGCAAAAGGCAGTCGATTTCGTCTGCCGACGGCCGCTCAAAGGGTCACCAAGGGTCCGGGCTTTGCACAGGGTGCTTCTATACCAGATGATGTTGGACAAGACAATGCTGCTGCTGCTGCTGCTGCTGCCTATTGCTATAGCAAAACTCCCTATTCAGGCTTTGGCGGCGTCGCGCCGCCGCGATCGAGACGAAAGGTCAAGGTCATCAACACCTTGATCCGATGCGCTGCTGCGATCTCGTCCGTCGATGATGCATCTTCTTCTTCTCCTTCTTCTCCTTCTTCTTCCGCTGCTGCTGCTGCTGCTGCTGTTAGTGTGGGGACCACCACCAGTCTGGGAGAGATCACTGTCAAAGATTTCCCCATCCTCAGTCAGGAAGTGAATGGAAGGAGGATTGTCTACTTAGACAATGCGGCAACATCACAGAAACCACGTCAAGTGATCGACGCTGTGCAGAGGTACTATCAAGACTACAACTCCAACGTTCACAGGGGCATCCACACGCTGAGTGTGAAAGCGACCGAAGCTTACGAGGACGCGAGGGGCAAAATTGCAAAGTTCATCAACGCAGAGAGGGATAGCGAGATAATCTACACCCGCAATGCAACGGAGGCTATCAACCTCGTGGCCAACACTTGGGGTGTGGCCAATTTGACACCAGGGGATGAGGTGGTCTTGTCCGTGATGGAGCATCACAGCAACCTTGTTCCCTGGCAGATTATAGCCGAAAGGACCGGGGCGGTGTTGAGGTTTGTGAGCTTGTCGCAGTGTGAGAGCCTTGATATGGATCACCTAAGGTCGCTGGTCGGGAACAAGACCAAACTGGTAGCACTTCAACACGTGTCAAATGCGCTTGGATGCGTCAATGATGCCGTCATGATCGGGGAAATTGCGCACAAGTACGGGGCCAAAGTGTTGCTGGACGGGTGCCAGAGTGTACCTCACATGCCAGTCGACGTACAGGCTTTGGACTGCGATTGGTTCGTGGGCTCGGGGCACAAGATGTGTGGTCCCACGGGGATTGGGTTCTTGTATGGGAAGATGGAGGTGCTCAAGGCCATGCCACCCTTTTTGGGGGGAGGGGAGATGATTCAGGACGTCTATCTCGACCACTCGACGTATGCAGAGCCACCTAATCGATTTGAAGCCGGGACCCCGGCAATTGGTGAAGCGATAGGACTGGGTGCTGCGTGCGACTACCTGATGGGGATCGGGATGGGCAAAATCCACGACTATGAGGTGGAGTTGTCGGGATACCTGTACAAGAAGATGGCAGAACTGGAAGGGATGAAAATCTACGGGCCAAAGCCAACGGATCCGGGGGGAAGGGCAGCGCTGTGCGCGTTCAATGTGCCACAGATTCACCCAACGGACTTGTCAATGGTTCTTGATCAGTCGGGATTTGCAATAAGGTCGGGACATCACTGCGCTCAACCGTTGCATCGACATTTTGGAATAAATGCGAGTGCGAGGGCAAGCCTGTATTTCTATAACACCAAGGAAGAGATTGATATGTTCATAGAGGGGCTGAAGGAGGCCATTGAGTTCTTCAGTGTGGCGGGCGGGGTGTAAAATTTTGTCTGATTGGCGGTATAGAGCTCTGTCACACTTTTTTTTTTTTTTTTTTTTTTTAAGACAGATATCCAGTTTGGCTGGCTGGCTGGCTCAGTATTTTTTTTATTTTTTTTTTTTGGCTGGCTCAGTATCGAATGACGAGAATTTGTTTTTATTATTTTTTTTGGAATACAGCTTTTCAGATTGGCTGGCTGCCACAGTATCGAATGACGACAGAAAAAAAAAAAAAAAAAGTGACTAGTAGGGCGCAGTAGGTAGGAGGACAATTTCTTCGAGAGTTCCTTTCAAGAAAAGCTGGAGGTGTTTTTT